GCAGAGGTGATGCTGTGGCAGCTGCTTAAGCCCCGTTGCCTTTAAGCCAGTCTAAAAAGCAGAAAAGTTTGACTAAATGAGTTAGTGTTGTAAAAGCCGTGGTTCTTTCTGACCTTGTAAAGCTAGAGAATAGACATTTAGACAAAGTGGCCCTAGGATCTGACATCTGAAGTACCTCCACAATAAGAGAAAGCATGAACTTGATTTTGTTTTGGGAAAAATCCCTTTAATTTCCCAACAGGTTGAGGTTGAACAAAACTCTGGCATGTGTTGATCACTGGTTTGAGCCCCGCAGTGCAGTATGATGAGGAATTGTTAAGAAGCCACCCAGAAGTTTTGTTTTTCCATTTCTCATCTTTTTTTGCTTCCCTGATCCTCTGACAATGAGGTTAAACGGAACGCTTTATGGGTTAAGTTGACTTTTATACAATTAAGTCATATGCCTTTTTGATGAACCTCAGGGCTTCATTGGATTGGTTAATGCTTTATGACAGCCTTATCAGTCTTATGCCACAGGCGATGACATAGAACTGTTAAAGAGGAATGGCTCAGTGTGACAAATGCTGAGGTACAGAGGTTTGGCCAGGCTGGAGAGTGGTTACCACGTAGTCTCTCATGACTTTTATCCATGTGCTTTACTTGCCATTGCCTAGGATTTTAGTATTTGTGAGCAGCTGGCAGGCTGACCTGCTTTCACTGCCAGATTGTCTTGTGGGTTTGGGGTTTTTTTCCTTCTATTTGATAAGTTATTTTTCTGATCCTTTCCATACAGGCTTTGCTTGTTTCCCGAGTCTTCTCCATGCATGAGTGAGGAACCACATCATCAACTATTTTCTATCTGTTTCTATTTTTGATTTTTGTGTCTTAGACTCTGTGCATGCGTCTGGCATCAGATAAGTGACAGAACAGAAATGTTCTGAGTAGTTTGGGAAGCCTTGTTGCTTACGAGACAGAAATCATTAAGTCCAACTCTCTCATTTCTCCCTTCTGTCCCAGAAACAATATCCAACCACCATTTTGTAGCTGGTACCCACAGGCACTTTTTATGTCTTTCTGTGACACGCTTTTCTCTACCTCACGCACTTACTATTTTCAGAAAACTGCATGGAACCATACTATAGTTTTTTAGCTTGATCAACAAATTGCATTTTAGTGGCAACCCAACTTTGTTGTCACCCAGCATCCTCGCTAATGCCTGCTTAGAGCACGATGCTGGGATTAATTAAAAGTTGAAGTACATAACATGGGGTGGTTTGTCGTTTGGCTTTGCACTGCTGCACTGATAGGAAAAGCAAAGCGATTCAGTGGCTTTCCACCCTTTGCTTTTGAAATATCTTTGATGTCATACTGAGAGAGGAGAAAAAGCAGTGGTTAAATATTGCAGTGGTCACAATACTGAGATTTAGAGTACTCATAATGAGTTTTACATAAGAGCCTGTGTGCTTTTTGTATTGTTAATTTAGAGGGTAGTTTTTAGACACATTTCTATAGCTGCAGCAGACTTTTTCACTCAGAAACTTCCATTTACTTAAGTAATAGATGCAGAGTCAATGCGCGTACAAACATGTCCAGATTTCCTGATGTACATATTCTCTTAAAATTTCTATTTTCGTGACATGGAGTGGTGGCTACAGGAGATGAAAGGAACTTAAAATGATTAAAACCAGTAGAGAGCAGCGGTGCCGTGAAATCATTGCCCTGCAGACAGGAATGTGTTTGAATTTTCTACAGAAAAATGTATTCCAAGACTGGAGCTTGTATTCCAGTTCCTATTTACTTGAAAACAGCAATAAGCATGTTTTATGAATGCTGACCTGTTAAGAATTTGAGGGGGAGGTTAACGGTGCAAGCTCTTCTCTCACCAACTTCTTTGCAGTACTTTGTGTGTGTAGCAATGATTCTTCCGTGAAAATAACAAATGTCTTTTATTTGAAGATACTGTAAAGCTTTGAGCCAAGTGTCTGACTTCTCATTTCACGTTACAAACCAGAAGCAATTGTGATAATCCAAGCAAACTCCATAAAATAAGTTACAGGATTTAACATTAAGTGACTTACAGGCTTATTTACACACTTTATTTTGGTTTTTTTTCCCCCAAAGAAGCGGAAACACAGTCAGTTGGTGCATCCACCTGAGGCCTGGTAACTTATAATAATAAGTTACAGGATTTAACATTAAGTGACTTATAGGCTTATTTACACACTTTATTTTGTTTTTTTTCCCCCCAAAGAAGCGGAAACACAGCCAGTTGGTACATCCACCTGAGGCCTGGTAACTTATAATGAGCTAAATGGATAACATTTGCTAGTACACTTTGGTCAGCAGTACAAAAAGAAGTATGTTTTTTTCAGTTTTATGTCCTAACAAGAAATGAACACAATGAGTGGTGAGAGTTACCTTTTGCAGAGTCTAGGAAACATCAATGGGGTAATTTTTAAGTCTGCAGCATCCTAACTGGTGTCGAGAGTCAGAAATTTTAATAAATAAATAGTTTACTTTCTCTAGTAATCGTTGAAAGTGCTCCCTTCAGTGAGAAAGATCGAATAGGGTGTATGTGATGCTGGCGCTTTCACGGTGCCGGGCCTGCGAAGGGGAGGGAAATGCGGGTGGTGTTGGCTGCTTTCGTACACATGGTAGAATTAAAAGTCTGTGCGAAACCAGAGGGCTAAGAATGGCCTTGGAGTTCTGGTCTAATATTGCTTCAAAAATTACTTCCAAACTGGTTTTCTTTAGATGTAGTCACGTTAAGAACGATGGAGTGAAAGCTGAAGCTCGTAGTCGCGTCTCTGTCCTGGAAGGTAGAAGTCAGACGAACGGAAATAGCCACGCGGAGATGCCGTATAGTCCCAGGACAAGGCAGCGTTTCCTGCTGTCCACGCAGCTCTCAGGCTCTTCCTTCACCTTTTTGTAGCTTGTACATACATTTTTCTTCCACAAAATCCAGAAGCCCATAACTAATACTGCTCTTCTCTCTCACCAGCCGCCCTTTCCCCCCGACTCCGTCCTTCCTGTAGAAATCCTGCCGGCTGGGTTTCCCCCCGGCAGCTCAGCTGTGGCAGCAGTCTGTCTCACCCTACGCCCTGCCGTAGGTCTCCTTGGCACGGCAGGAAAAATATGGCAACGGACGTCTTTTGCCCCAGTATATTGTGTGGCAATATGTAATGGCCTTCAGGTGAAGTTACCAGTAGTATCTTTTTATTTCTTGTACGGTTCTGCATTCCGTTTTATGAAAACAGACATGCAAGCTTGCCTCTCTTTTTTTTGCATGAAACGAAAGGCAGAGTGGTACAAAAATCGTCAGCAACAGAAATCACGCTTTCCCAGGCTCGAGTATCCTCGGATTTATTTATGTTGCCGATGCCTGATGCAACAGTTAAAGCTGATGTATTGTCCCACGCAGACGGGGCTGCTGGCTCATGGCTACG